ATTTACCCATATTAATCATCATTCCAGCCATAAGCATCCATCGATCAATGGGAAAATATTCAATTGCACTATCCTATTTTGAAAAGACAGTTGAGATTGAAGAGAAATCTCTCCATCCAATCATCCAGATCGGGCGTCTACTTTCAATAATATTGGTGTAATATACCGATCAACGGGCGATAACCTGACAGCAATCTCGTACTATAAGAAATCACTTGATATTCAAGAAAAATCTCTTACATCTGGCCATCTTAATGTGGCTTCTACTTACAATAACATAGCTGTTGTATATGATTCAATGGCAGCTTATCCTACTACACTTGCATATTATGAAAAGGCGCTTAATTTTCAACGAAGTCTTCTTCCACCTATTCATTTAGACTTAGCTGCCACTTATGTTAACATGGGTGGTTTGTATCAAACAATGGAAAATTACTCAAATGCACTCTCGTATTATGAGAAAGCACTTGAAATTCAATTGAAACTTCTTGAACCCGATCATGCAACTCTTGCAATTACCTATAACGATATTGGTCTAGTTCATCAATTGCTGAAAAATTACTCAAATGCCCTCTTATACTATGAGAAGACACTCGAAATTCAAAAGAAACGTCTTCCATCCAATCATCCTCACTTGTCTGCTACCTATCACAACCTAGGTGACGTACATGTATTTACGGAAGATTACTTGGCTGCTCTGTCATATTATGAAAAAGCGCTTGAAATCAAACAGAAATCTCTTCCTTCGAATCATCCGTCATTGGCTATTATCTACAACAACATCGGTCAAGTTTATCGAGCGATGAAAAATTATCCAACTGCACTGTCAAACTATGACAAAAGACTCGAAATTCAGCTTAATCCTCTTCAACTTGATGATTTAGACATTGCTGATACTTATAAAGAGATTGGATTAGTTCATGAATTGATGCAAGATTACACGATGGCACCCTCCTACTACAAGAAGGCATTCGAAATCCAAGAGAAACATCTTATATTCGATGATCCTGAGCTCGTAGATACTAACGAACATATAAGCGCTCTACAGCCCTTGAAAGGAGACTAAAGAACTGTTTCATCATTTGATTGTGATTGTCAACGTCGATGAGAGTTCGATCGATCGATTTCACCAGATCGATTTTCTTTGATCGAGGTTGTGGGTGTCGGATGGGTGTCGATCTAATCGTCTTTACACCCACACCCTATTTTCTACCATACGTAGAACTGTTTTCGTGCATGCGCATGTATAGTGCTGTCGAAATGATGACGCAGATGCATTACATTTTTGTCCCATATCTTTGATAGTAATACTGTGGATGATTGAATCAGATCTTGAAGCATAACATTAAGGTGCTTTTCTCGTCGTATTTTCTGAAACGGAAAAAATTGAAATTTTAAGAAAATTCATTTCTTTGCAACCTTTCTGCGACCTATAACTTTCTCAGAGAGCAGCGATGAACAGAACGCATCTAACAGCATTTTCTAGAGGTCAGACTAATGCATATAACATCCAGAATGTACATAATGAAAGATACAGTATATGAGATATTTCTGGAGCAGAATGAAAATATTCCAACCACTACAAACTGGTACGTGAGGCCTCAAAAGTGTTCTATCTCTTGATATAAAACAGCCAATAAAAATCTATACCAATTACGCGAACCTATGTAAAAACATATGTTCTTTTACGGTATGTATGTGATAAAAAGTGTCCAAAAGAAAAAAAAACTGTTTAAACGTATCCGGCAGAGTCTTTACATCTATTTGAATTCAACATTCTTGTATTTTATACCCCATACACATCGGCAAGGCCAATCATTCTACTTGTCCTTGGATGAATCTGAATAGAAATGAAAACAATACTCCTCCAAAATGACGGCCTGCTTCTTTAATTGACAATCTATTCAATTTCATAACAAGAAGATCGATAGTCATCAATCTGACCGCTTAAGTCGGCGATCTATGAATGACTTCTTATTTTCGTTTGCTTTTAATAGAACTAATGAGTAATCAAAGTGCATTAGTGCTATTCATTAGAGTAGGACTTTGCTTTCTACCTATATGATGTTTACATATAACTTCTTCATTGATTCGTCCTTCGAAGTCTCTTTCAATCGCGATAATAACAATAAATGGTTCAGTTTAAGGTAAGTAATTGTTTCTTATTTCTCTGATTTTTTTTCTCAAAAAAGAAACTCACGTTTTTGAGAGAGACGCAAATATGTCTATGGAACTTCTATACATATACGTATGTGTTATCCTATTTGGTCGACTTTGTAAGTTGCGTTTTAATTGTTTACAAAGAGTTTCTCGGTATGCAGATACCAGTAAGTAGAAGAAAAAAGAATGATTTGGCGGCATGTAAACCAAAAACGATTCATTTATTAATGAAGTTATGTTTATAATTTCTTTCTTATCATTTCAATTCTCTCGAGCACCTCTGTTAGAAGAGGATCATTAGGAGCAAGTGAACGTTGTCGAATATCTCTAGTACGTTCGAAAAAAGAGAGGGCTTTCGAATACTCTCTCATGCTGTCATAAACACAAGCAAAGTTGTTGTAGCAAGTAGCCAAATCAGGATGATTTGAAGGAAGAGTTTTTTCGAAAATTTCACGTGCTTTTTCGTAAGACGAAAGTGCTTTCGAGTTGTCTCCCATGTTTCGATACAAGGCACCGAAGTTATTGTAGGATGTAGCTAAATCCGGATGATTTGGAGGAAGAATTTTTCGATGTATTTCAAAGGCTTTTTCATAAAACGAAAGTGCTTTCGAGTAATCGCTCATGTTTCGATATACCTCGCCAATGTTGTTGTAGGAAGCAGCCAAATCAGGATGATCTGAAGGAAGAGCATCCCTACATATTTCAAGGGCTTTTATGTAATATTCAATGGCCTTTTCATATTCGCCTTGATTATTCTGGATGCATCCAAGCTGATGATAATAATGCACTTTCATAGTCGGGTCGGATGTCTGTTCTAATAGTACTGTGTAAACTTCTTCGGCTTTGTTAACTTGATCTATTTTGAGGAGTAATTTACCTAATCGTGTCCAACCTGTCGAACCTCCAATCTCCTTGTGAATACGCTCGGTGAGTTGACTGAGATGTTGATTATCATCCGACGTAAGTATAAGGTTCACTTCATAAAGAGGCTGTTTGTTGTCGATTTGTTTAACATTATCGATTCGAAAGACGGTGTGCATAGAGAAGAGAATTTCTTCTTCTTTCTGCGAGTAACTCACATTTGAGATGAAGGCAAAAGGAGCCGATAAGACTTTCGGATCAATCAACATTTGGAAGAGAATGCCCACTGTATTGGTTTTTGATAAGGCATCCTTAGCAAAATCGAGAGGAACGTCTCGTCTATGATTGGTCAATAAAAAATTATTAAAGGATATCAATCCACCTTTGTTTTTCTGGAGTTTTTCAAAGTCACTTTTGGATAAACTTTGTCCCGAGTAAACATTCAAGGACTTTTCATGATAATCACTGACTTGTTTTTTGTGTAAATCTTCAATTTGATAGTGTAGATCACAAATAAAAAAAGCCATATTGATAATCGTATCTCCATCCAATGTTCTTAGTGCTCGATTGAGCATTTGATACGTGAAACATTCACGCGTATACCACCAGATGGCCGATGATGGACGATATTCAGATTTAAATTCCTCAATAATTTTCAATTCAACCGTATTGTTCTGGTAAAATTGACGGCAAAACTTGGTGAAAACATTCTTCGTTTGTAGACCATGTTCCATTTCTAGAAGAATTTTCTTGACGAGCTGTGAGTACATAAAAGTCGGTTCGAGCTGTTTGAGATTTTCGCTGGAACATGCTTCTTTCACACTGATTATGCTAATTGGAGTGTAATCTTGATTGCATTGCTTGATGGCCAATTTCAATGCTTCACAAATGGGTTCGATTTGTGTATGGACACCTTTAATTTTTCTCCAATTTTTCGCCCATGCTTCATGTACCGGTTTGTTGGCACAAAAGATATAAATTACATCTAACTGTGGCATATCATGAATGTATGGAACAAGTTGTTGGCCAATGCCTCCAGAGGAAATGAGAAAAGCTTTCTCTTTATATAGTCCATTGAGATATGTAATGCATAGCTCCGATTCAGTTAAAATTGTCACATCGTTGACGATGCTGCGCAATCGTACGAGAGCATCTTGGCAATCTTGGCTGTTTTGATCAATATTGCTATCTACCCAAAGCAACAAATAATTTTGAACTATGCGTCGTCTTAATCGGATGGTTTCTAATGATGTTGTTATAGTTGCAGAAGTGTCCATTGTTGTTGTGGATTCATTTTGTTTGCGTTTTCGTTCACTCATATTCGATATGAATTGTTGTTTGATTGTCAATCGTGAATGATGAATAATTGTTTGATGTTCAGACAGTAATCTTTATATCTATTTATACAGTTTTTACCTTATGCTTTTTTTTCTAGATTTTTCTATGAGATCAAATATAAGCAGTTTCTTTGTTGACACTCAGCAATAAAATCCAGGTAGTTTGAATTGAAAATGCAGTTATGAAGAACAAAGAAATGAGAAAAAAAAATGCCAGCAGAGTCATTTATTGTATTTTTATTCTTTTCAACTTTCGTTTGCTGTTCGTCTCCACAATACCTTGAGTGTCAATGCGTGGTAAACCTTCTCTCATTTCGAGAGTTCGAAAGAAGAACAATATTGATTATTTATTTGGTGTAATATTTAACTGTTGAAAGGAAAAACCTCGGAAATTCAAATCTGTTTTGATCACAGATGTCAGGCTTACGCTCACTCTTGTGCTGTATGCATGTGTGCTGTACGAGATTCTCTTGATCAAAGTTTTTCCGCTTGAGATTTACAAGAATTTTTAATTTCCAATATTTAGCAACTTTACCTTTTATTTTTCAGCAATTTTTTTTCAGAACGACATTTTTCATAGTTAAAATAATTAAGTGTTGAATTATGTTATATTCATAAAAGAGTGTATAAAATATTTTCGAATGAAAAAAACTGGTACCTTGTCTATGAGCTCACTGTCCCATTCTTCCTGCTTCTACGTAAAAAATATCACAGACAATCTTTTTTTTTCAAGATTTTGCTCATCAACGGCTAATCTTTGTTAGAAAATAAGTATAATATTGAGAATCTCAGTGCAAAAATAGACAAGAAATTCTACATTTTGTCATAAAACATTATGTGAGTGAAGATAGCAGTATGAGTGTTGCAATTTACCTTATTTTTAATATTTTTAGTGTTGAATTTCTTTTAACTTCTGCGATTCATGGACAAATAATAATTGTTTATGATCGGAACTAGCTGAACTGCAACATGCGACACTACATTAACTAGAAAAGTCTTGCATTATAAATATATACATTACTAAAACTATGCTTATAATTAAGGTATTTCAATGGAGTACATATTAGGAAACAGATGTTTGCAATAACTGATGTTTTGAATCATCAATATTCTTAACATCTATTCTGCATGATATATTGAAAATCATAATCATTATCTACGTGTATTGTGAATGTGA